GGGCGAAAAAGAAACCAAACCAGAAATTGGAAAATTATAAAGCCAGCTGCAGTAATGCTTAGAACGGAAGATTTTAGAAGTACGAATACATTAGCGAATGTCGAGGAAAATAGAGACGACTGGCGTAACTCGTCTGCAGGAAATCGCTCCCTCTCTGTCGTACCACCTCGGATGTGCATGAGAAAAAAAAGCTCTCCTCTCTCGCTGCTGCATTTGCTGCTAGTGCCACCACCGCCATCTTGCTGTGCTACACTCTTTTCTTCGCCGTAATTGAATGACTCAATTTTGCAGCTTGATGATTAAATTGAATACGCCTGAATGGGTATTAATTAAATTCAATCGTTTCACTTACGCTTCCTAGCCATCTCGCTCGCTCTTTCTGTCTTTCTCTCTCTTGTTCGAGGTGCTCAATTAACTTTTTTGGAGCACATCGGGATATGGAACGTTTTTAAGGAACGGGAGAAAAGAAAACACTTGAAATAAGAGACCCGCAGTGGCACTAGCAACAACAGCGGCTAATTAAATTTTGCCAAAGCGCCTCCTCTTGCTTGCGAGCGAAATGTGTATTTCCTTCATTTACTATATAAAAACCGAGAGAAAAAAAGGCTGCCCGGCGTGAGACGCTAAGAAGTTAACTTGTACTGCTCCGGCAATAAGGAAATTATCACTAAAAAGAGAAGGTAGAGGAATAGCGCGATTCAATCACTAACACTCTTTCAAAGTATTTATTATTATCATCATTAGAGAAACGCGCGAGCAGCCAGAACTTGCAAACGAACCACTTTGTTTCTCGGAAACCATATAATCGCCTTTTTCATTTCTTTTGGAACCGCTGCAAAACTTTTCACTCTTCATTCCCTTTTCTTTCTCTCTCCCTCTCTCTCTCTTTCTCTTTCTCTCTCTCTCTCTCTCTCTCTCTCTCTCTCTCTCTCTCTCTCTCTCTCTCTCTCTCTCTGTCTCTCTCTCTCCCACTATACAATAACAACAACGACAAAACAAATACAGCAAAAGTCCAAAACTCAAGTTCGTCGACCAAGAGGTGAGCTTGCAGTTGATTTTCGTGAAAAATCCCATACAGATTTGCTCTTTTATAAAGAAGCACCTAAGTTTTCCATTAACATAACAATAACAATAGCGAGAAATGGTAACTTTTCAATTATACCATTTCTCATGATGGAAAAATAAAAGACAAGAGGGCGAGAGCTAGAGACGGAAACGAGGTAAAGTTGACTTGGCGCTTGGCGTCTTGGCGAAATTAAAGAAGCAATAGTAACCCTTGCTAAAAGCGACGATGAAGAAGAGCCTCAACACCGCAGCCGTACACTACTGCGTCTGCAGTGCTCGCGCAGGAAGGAATTATATAGCCATGCAGGAACACTTTATGGTCCGCTGAGTGGCTTGCTTCCGATTTTCAACCTGCGTTTAATACACGTCTATATAGATCGAGCACGCGCGCGCACACATTAATGATAAATTCTCACATGGTCAAATCAGGCGCGCGCGAGCGCTCGCACGCTTATAAATTATTCGTCTCTCTTTCTCTAGAAATTTACATATAACTGGCAATGATTGGACTTGCGAAATGCTCGTCACGAAATAGCATACAAGTTTAAGAGGTATATATGAGGCAAGCATGAGACGGCCAAATATATGGAGACGTTGCAGCATGTATCAGATATATATTGGGCGACACTTCTAGCACGGGTCGACTCGCAAGTCAAAAGTCATTGACGCCCCCGAGAGTTGGGCAACTTTGCCAAATACGCGATTGCCGCCTTAGCGTCAAGATCTCATATCCATTACAACCTGAAGATGTCGAAGCTCTCTCTCTCTCTCTCTCTCTCTCTCTCTTGCCCCCCGTGAACTGTAAAGAGTTAAGTTTTGCCCCCTTACCCGTCCACTAACACCACCAGCACCCTCGCGCGTGAATCTGTGCGAATATATATACGTACGTGTGGACTGTACATTATATCGATCGCGTTCAAAACTTACTTCTTGGCTATTCACTGCGAGATAGACGCAGAGCCAGGTAGGTCAGAGCTTCATCTTCAATTTAATCGGATCCACATTGATGGTGTCTATAACGTCTTTGGCTAACTGAACAGCTGTTACAAAGTTTAAAATATCCAAAAATATATGAGAATTATGGCGGAAATAAAGGATAACGTCGGCTCTCGGTATCTCTAACCAGAAAAAGTTATTTTTGATTCATGCGATCGTAATTGTGTCGAAGATTTCCCGTGCAATGACTTTGCAGAGATTCAATACTTGAAAAAAAATGAACTCAATTATTAGCATTGTTATACGACTTTGTTTGGTTTCGAGCTACCGATACTTTAATTAAGATATCACATTTTATGTCTACAAAAATAATCGTTTAGGCGAAAACAAAGTGATACTCGCGTGCGAAGAAGCGAATACACACACAGTATAATGGATATTTCATCGCGTATCCAATAAGCATGAACATTGGAGCCTCAAGTATGAAGTAACACGAGCCCCGGTGTGCTCTCTAAAAACGATAGCGACAAGACGAATATTTATCGCTTCGGGGAGCATTTGAATTTTAATCAGAAGAAAATCCAGGAGCCACGCGGCAGTGGCTCTCGAGCGCGCAACTCGAATTACGTCTCTGAAATATACGAAGATGGCGGCTGCGAGGGAGAACAAGCCTTCCAATCACATTGCTACAGAGTAGTGGTAGTAGTAGTAATAGTAGTAGTCGTACTAGTACTAGTACTAGTCCTCGTCGTGTATGCGTGGATAAACCCCGGCGCTCACGTTATGTCTTAAAATCTTACGAGCTGCGAAAATTGCAGCCAAGCCATCATCATCGAGAGAGAGCGAGAGAAAACGCGAAATGTCGACGTAAGTATAAGGGCCGTGACGGATAGAGAGATGAGAGAGAGAGAGAGAGAGAGAGAGAGAGAAAGAGAGAGAGGGGAGAGAGAAATGCGCCTTATTCGGAGTAATAGGCGCGCGCGAGGCGAAATAACGCTTACTCAGGAAACTGCGCGAAATTTCAATGAATCGACTCGAGTAGCAGAAACAGCAGCAGCAACCGTCACAAGCGAGCGCGTCGAACTTTACAATAATACGCTCGCTCGAATTGCCGTCGCTCATGGATTTTTCAATCTTCAATCGAATGAGAGTAACCGAAAATTATGCCCCCGCGATCACGACGGAAAATAAGATGACTCCTTCATTTGATTATATAAGAAAAAAAGTAGTTTCTTAAAAACCGAATACCTTGCAAATAGTCAAGTATAAATTTGCAGCGTGGATATACGTCTACTCGCGCAGCTCTACAGTTAGCGGGGTATATTTTCAAGAGTTGCATACGCTAGACGGATTTTATTTATCTCAGTTAGGGGTTAGCCGCACGGTATACATGGCTCGTTCCGATTTCCAGCGGCGGACACGCTCTTTTCGTGTCTCCATTTTTTTATTCCTGTCCATCCAACCAGATTCTCTCGCTCCCTCCTCTACTTCTCTTACTTAATTTTTCCTTTTCCGTCTCTCAATTTTCCGCATAACCTCTGTCTTTGACAGTCTTTTCCTTTATACACGGTGGCGTGGATGTCTGTTTCATGTATAGCTATACATACTTTTTTTCAAGATATACGGAATTTCTCAGTTTCATCTTTCGCTATTTTATTTTCCCGTGGGCTTTTTTTGTCGTCAGCCTCTGAACGAATTGACAAGGATAAAAGTTAGAAGGATTACGAGGTATTGTATTTCGTGCACGATTGCGCCTCTCCTTTCCCAGAAAAAAAAGTCATTGAACGAGCGAGTACTCGAGCGCGTGTCTGATTATTTTTTCCATAGAGTTATTTTAATTAATTTGTGCAAATGACTCTTTAAGAATAAACTTGTATGTTTGGCCAAAATTCAAATACGTTGGTTTCAGTGGTGTAATCAGCTACCTTGAACTATATAATCGACTTCTTATCTGCTGCCGTACAAAAAAATATTTTCTTGCGCAATCAAAAAAAGCACATTGTGATTGTTATACCGAAAACATGTTTGATTTTCCGATTTGTATTCCCACACGTTGGCCCAAGTAATTAATAGCGTGTGCTCGAGCGTGATTTGAGTAAATACATCAACGACTTTACACATACCTACGGATCTACGCAGATATTTTAAGTTGTCATTATTAAATTATACTCATTGAGTACAATTTGTACGATTATAAAATCTGAGCAAATAGGAAAGTTATCTTTACAAATTTATACTAGACTATTACTATTTATACGTTTATTAATACAAATATTATAGTAACCTTCACTAATTTTTATATGATCGCACGAATGTTGGATAAAAATATCTAAAATCCGTCGCCGTAAGTCATTTAAAGCAAGTTCGTGAAACATCTCATTCAATTTTGCGTCATTCGCTTACCAAGTGCAAACAGCAGAAAAATTTTGTGAAAGTGAATTACTAACGTTCAACATTTTACAAAAACACTTGTATGCATAAAAGCGACTCGTGTGGATTGCAGTAAGGTATGCAGGATTTTAAATCGTAAACAATTCGATGCTTTACGCTTCGTTCACAGTGAGTTTTTATAATAGTATTATTATGTAACTGATTGAAATACAATTCTTCACTGATGACCGAGGCTCAGATACAATTGTTTGTGGCAAACAATTTATCACAATAATAGTCATTTCATCAATTAGTAAAATCAAATCAACGCTTTGTATTATAAAAAATCACCATTACAATTGAACATTGCAGGCTTCATCTAAAACTGTCGATTCGTAACTTCTAGAGTGGAAGAGTCTTAAAATAATATTGAAAATATACTTTCATTGACTACAACGTGCAGAATTACAATAGTTCATTGACACAGCTGTTGAGTTGAATGTTTGGCTTCAACGAAATCGATTAATTCCTTATCGATTAACCACGCTAATGTTAATTCAAGCTGACTCTACTATATAAAGAGAGTACCGATTCTTGTCAGTTAGTTCAAGCGGCCAGATCTATACGCCATGAAATTACTAGTGCTATCTTGCTTTTTTGCATTGGCTTGTGTACGTTATAAACCACTCAGTTTACTATGATTAAATATTCATGTTTGCAAGTTTTCAAGTGATTAATCAATTAATAATGAATTGATTCATAGGTTGCAATCGCAGCACCTGCAGACTCTCTTACTAGGAATTCTACACAGAAATCACTAGGACTAGGAAAGAAAAAGTGCATTTTACATCACGGAAAACCAAAGCCAATCAGTGATTTGAGTGAAGCTCAAAAAATCACTGCTAGCCTAGAATCGGTCAAACAAACTGTAAGTTAAATTTAACTTATTTGCGTAACTGCTTTAGTTTATAAAACTAATTATGATTTTTTAAGATTGCTCCAAGCAACGAGAGAATAACAGATATTCCCGATGAGTACAAAGGAGAAAGTGAATTGAATAAAGTAAGTTCAACGACGACTGAGACTACAACCACGACAACCACCGAGGCTCCAAAGACGACTACAACAACCACTGAAGCACCAACTACTACTACAACAACCACTGAGGCTCCAACCACTACTACTACAACAACCACCGAGGCTCCAATCACTACTACTGAGGCTATAACGACAACAACAACTACTAAAGCTCCAATTACCACTACAACAACTACCCAGGCTCCAACCACTGAGGCTACAACAACTACAACCACCACTGAAGCTCCAACTACCACTACATCAACCACCCAGGCTCCAACCACAGAAGCTACAACTACTACAACAACTACTGAAGCTCCAACTACCACTACCACAACCACCCAGGCTCCAACCACTGAGGCTACAACTACTACAACTACCACTCAGGCTCCAACCACTGAGGCTACGACTACTACAACAACCACTGAAGCTCCAACTACCACTACAACAACCACCCAGGCTCCGACCACTGAGGCTACAACAACTACAACCACCACTGAAGCTCCAACTACCACTACAACAACCACCCAGGCTCCAACCACTGAGGCTACAACTACTACAACAACCACCCAAGCTCCAACCACTGAGGCTACAACTACTACAACAACCACTGAAGCTCCAACTACCACTACAACAACCACCCAGGCTCCGACCACTGAGGCTACAACAACTACAACCACCACTGAAGCTCCCACTACCACTACAACAACCACCCAGGCTCCAACCACTGAGGCTACAACTACTACGACAACCACCCAGGCTCCAACTACTACGAGTACGACGACTACCCTAGCTTCAACCACCGTTGTAGTAGAAAAAGTAAAGAAAGAAAAGGGCTTTTGGACAAAACTTCTTGAAACTTTACACATTATAAGCAGAAGTGATGATGATTAGTCGTACTATCGATGTGAATGTAATTTAATTATAAATATTCTTATAAGAACATTACATTATAATGTAGATTGAATATAAATTAATAAATTTCTGTTATATTTTTTTTAGACAACATTTTTATCTTCGTCACAAAATCCTAATAACTCTTTATCATTTTGAAAATTACTCAAAAGTTACTTGTATCAAATTGCTAAAAAGTACGTAAGCAACGCACGATCGTATGATTTAATTTTGCAAGTATCTTTATCGTCACAGATGTGCATCGAGTGATTTCGGTGTTGACAAATAACTCGCGCGAAAGATTCGCGCCTAGGTTATCCATTGCTGTATTGCACAGACGTAAGTCTTCACTTTATCCTTTCACAAACAGTCTCGTATCTTGATATATTTTCTCTTCTAGCTCTTCTTCCCAAGAGAGAAAGAGAGGGAGAGAAGGAAAAAAAGAATGAGAACTCGTTCACACTTTTAGTCTATTACTCGTATCTTTCTCTCGCTTGTGTGTTATTTCGATACGAGCGCATGAACCTTTGTTTGCTTCTATATTGTCGTTGTATAGTCGATGCGCGCCTCATTGATTTTTGTCGATGCGATTATTGTTCACTCTTCGTTTACCCGAGATTTATAGCTTCGCCAATGTTTGAATTTTTTTGAATAATTGTTTCACAAAATCGTACGATGGAGTTGTATTTAAGATAAGCTTGTTTTTGCGAAAATTAAGATATACACATAAATATAAATGCGTGCGTACGAAACTTTGCCTGAGTGCTCTTTGTGCGAAAGATATAAAGTTCAATTAAAGTCTGGATCAAGAAGTTTTCATCTAATCTTCGAGTGCATAACTTTTAATTTTTTGGAATCTCAAGACTTTTCGCTTATAGCATAGCGCATAATGATGATTTATTCAGGACATTTGTCAAAAATTAAAGCGAAAAAATGCGTAATTTCACAATAAACAATAATAATTGTAAATCCTTCTTTCGTATTCTTGGCTAAGGGTATTACTATCGTTTTTTACGAAAATTAAGTAGTTAAGGTCAATCCAAATGGAAAAAAGTGTAGTTTTTTTTTTTAATTTATATAGCATGACGGATTATTATTAAGGCTTACAGCTTCTTTATTCATACATTTTACTAATTAATTAACGAAGTTGTTAACCGAGTTTGCAGTTAAGAGTAAATTTTTTATCTATAAGAGTAAAGTTTTTAACTATATTAAAGTTTGAAATGTATCGAAGATTACATGTAGATAATTATTTAAGTGTCAGTAAGAATATTTTTTAGAACAAATTCACGATTCCATTTTCTCTTTCTACAATTTCACCTGGCTGTAAAGGGCAGTGGGTACTGGTATTGCGCAATGAAGCCTCGTCTTAGTTTCTAGCCGTTATATTGAGCGACACCACGTGTATACAAGCCCTGCCACGGCCATTTCAGTTTTCTGTCATCATATCCGTGACTAGAATACACGCGTGCAGTGGCGTATTGCACACGATGCCTCGTAGTGCCACTCCCTCTAGAGCTCGAGTATGGTGCGATGCACATTTTGGATTGCGAAGTATAGATAAGAAAAATACGTAAAAATACGTATTAATCGATGCGTGTATATTTTTTTATTACTATAGTGACTCGTTTGCTACTATTGCAATGCACACGATGTCGTGCAGTTCTCTGTTATATGAAAATGCAAGGGCGCGACAGCTTTTCGACGAATAAGAGAAACGAGTTGAATCCCGATCTCACCGGACAGCGCATGGTTTTCTAGTTTATTCAACCTTTGCCCTCTTTCTCAGACCGTCTGACTACTTACTGTCGCTACGACGACTTCATAGAGCCGGGGCTTGTAAATCCCAACAAGTAAACCTTTGATTCGATGCGACAGTCCATTTTCGAGTGTGTTTATACCGAGACTTCCTTGTTCAATTTCTTCTTATTTTCGTTACGTTGACTCAGTTCCTCGAGCTTTGTTCAATGCTTTTATTCTTGAATGTTGATATACTAACAATGAGAACTCTACGGGGGACTTGATTAAAAAAGTGCGAGCCAATTTATATTATAAAAATTTTCCAAGTTCAAATTATATTTTTAACGTAAAATCGTATTATCACAAATGAGATTATAAGCACGTATATATCTGCTTTTTTCTTATTCAACAAAATTTTCCCTTTCGATCAAACAGTGTAGTATTGTGTATCTCTCTCCTCTCTGCTTCAGCCTCTTTTTGTTCTTTCCTCTCTTATACGGCGAGAAATAGCTTTTTCGAGCGATCCGACTACGAGATAAAATTCAAGAAAGGATGGCAATAAATTCTCGCCGGGGCCTGACGTTCCGTACTGCTCTTTCTCTCTCTCTCTCTCTTTCTCTCTGCTGCTGCTGCTTCTCTGGCTGCTGCGGTTTGACTAATGCGCGTGTACTTACGACACGTACTACAGTCGTACTACCGTAGGCGAGATTCTTCCCCTTTCCCCCTCTTTTGTCTTTATTCGCGTTAATATTGTATAGAGCTATGCGGAAGAGAAACAGAGAGAAAGAAAGAGAGAGAGAGAGAGAGAGCTTGCAATGTGACACGGTTTCGGGTGATATTCAATTTAAAGTGGGATTTTTTCCTCTTTATTTCGGTAAAGATATGGATAATTATCGTACTTACGTGACGGGGAAAAATTCATCGGCACATGGAGTAATGGAAAAAAGTACTCACCTGAAACAGAAAAAAGGTACATATTATTTGAAGTGCCAATTCGGATACTACATATTTTATAACGAAAGGAATTATACATCATTCGCCAATTGGTATTTCAAATGCGCAAAGCTATGTAATAATTTTGCCTGTACTTTCGTTATACATTTTTAAAAACGCGTAACGACTTTACAGATACGTTTGCTAGGAAATATTATTAACTATAAGGGAATATCATCATTGTTACTGCGACAATATCGAAAATTGATAGGAAACGAAAACAGCAGTAATGTCAATATCCGGTTTCAGTAAATTTAACTTTTAGATTACGAACCAGGTTAGTTTATTCATTCGAATCGATTTCCTTTTAAAATTTTCCTAATATATTACGTTGAAATGGCATTATGTAAAAAGTGTGAAATATTTGCAGCCACGTGCGAGCATGTTTTTACAGACATGACAGTGGTGCAGATGTGAGCAATCCAAAATTAATATTAATAGCTTGTGACATCAAATTTATTGTCAATAAAAGCGCAAACTTATACGCTTTTTTTAGTTTTTATCATCACCGATAGGAAATTTATACTGTCATACGACACGATTGCTTCATTTTTGTTGTACTTCAGATGATACGCACATTGTGGAATTCAGTCAGGCAAAGGAAAAAGCTTTTAAAGAGGCAAAAAAAGAAGAAAAAATGGAATAAGAAATAGACACCTATCAGCGAGCATATAAAAGGCGTTTTGTAAACTTATATAAATCATTTCTCGTCTCAATATATTCACACTGCAGTATCAGTCCGACTGGCATAAATCGAGTATCCTTGCGGCGTTCATATCACATAATATATAAAAGATAGATGGAAGAAGAAGCCATAAATCTATCCGAAAAATTTTCTTCAGCAGTAGAAGCAGCAGTGAGAAACGGGCATCGCATATTACGTATTGAAAGCTTGACCAATGCCGCGCGCCGCGAGGATCACCGAGTACGTATAAGTATATCTATATATAGCATTATATAGGGAGGCGAGGATTCGTGTCGTAATACTTGGGATCTTTGTCTGGCTTCGTCGACGGATGAAAAATGTTTATTACGCGCGGAAATGACGAATGTAAAGCGTTGCGCATTTGACGATACATATTATATACATAACGACAGGCCTCTCTTGCGAATCGTCGAAATTTAGCGCACACGATACACGGCAGCACAGTACAGAGGGGGAAATCGTATACCCGCGAAGCAGGAGTTTCTGTTTTTGAGGGATTTCCAGCCGTTCGAGAGAAGTGACAACTATAATATCGCTCGCGTGCATTACACTCAAACAGTTTCAAGCATTTATTGTTTCATAATCCAAAGTCTGCTTTGTGAAACAATCTATTATAACGTGCTTCTCTCTCCCTCTCTCTTTGACGACTGCTGGCAATTTTGCAACGTTTAAAATTGCTGTTTTCTCCACACACACACACACACATATGGCATACTATGCATCCTTATCCGTGTAAGTGTGCATAGCGTGACTGTGTGAGTGTGTGCGCATCCTTAACGCTTCACTTTGTCTCGAGCGCGGAAGATCTCTCGCACTTCGTCTTCTTCACTTCCGACGGCAACTTCGACGTCTCGCACACAGGCAGGCGCACACATACACGTAGACTTCTAATAGTATATAGAGATAGAGATAGAGAGAGAGAGAGAGAGGCAGTGGCAAGGCGAACGAGGCGAGCGCAGCAGCAGCGAGAGAAGTCAGAAAGGCGACAGCGCAGCGAAGGTTGAAGTCTTGCTGGCAGGGAACCACGAGATTCGAGGCTCTTATATACACTCGCCCAACAAAGGGGGGGTTTGATGCTTGCGCGCCTCGCCAGCCAGCTCTCGCGCGCTCGTTTCCAGCTCCTTTTTCTGTGCAGCGCGCACGACGAGAGAAAGCGCAAGAACGTGCAAGTGTGCGTCCGTGTATAGACCTGTACATATATCACACGTTTACACAGAGGAAAACTACTTGCCACGAGATAGATAGAGAGAATGAGTGAGCGAGCGAGCGAGCGAGAAAGAGAAAGACAAGGTAGGGAAAGGGTATATACCTATACGGTGCATGAGGGAAGCCTTGGCGCGCAATGACTGTGAAGTGCGCACGAGCGAACGCCCAAACTTCAGCCCAGCGTGAAGTTTAATTAGCGTACACCTTTCTCTCTATTTCTATTTCTACCTGTGTATATACACATGGAGCAGAGAAAGAGCAGCGGCAGCAGGCACACCTGCTTTAACCTGCGCATATAAGTCTTTACGTGGTGTACATGTATGTCTGTGTGTGTATGTATGTTCTCTCTCTCTCT